CAAAAGTAACCAATAGAATATAAACTAGTCGGAAGCATCTAGCCAGTTTAACGGACAGGGAATCTAGAAATCTCAAAGATGTTTCACCGTAGAGAAAAGAACCTAAGAGAACAGACGGATGCATCTAGATGGTTCAACAGACAGGAAATCAAGACATTTCAAGGGAGTTTCACCATCGTCAAAAGTAACTAATAGAATATAACAGTCGGAAGCATCTAGCCAGTTTAACGGACAGGGAATCTAGAAATCTCAAAAAGATGTTTCACCGTAGAGAAAAGAACCTAAGAGAACAGACGGATGCATCTAGATGGTTCAACAGACAGGAAATCAAGACATTTCAAGGGAGTTTCACCATCGTCAAAAGTAACTAATAGAATATAACAGTCCGGAAGCATCTAGCCAGTTTAACGGACAGGGAATCTAGAAATCTCAAAAGATGTTTCACCGTAGAGAAAAGAACCTAAGAGAACAGACGGATGCATCTAGATGGTTCCAACAGACAGGAAATCAAGACATTTCAAGGGAGTTTCACCATCGTCAAAAAGTAACTAATAGAATAGAACAGTCGGAAGCATCTAGCCAGTTTAACGGACAGGGAATCTAGAAATCTCAAAAGATGTTTCACCGTAGAGAAAAAGAAACAGTAAGAGAACTAGCCGGTTTAACGGACTAGACGGTTCAACAGACAGGAAATCAAGACATTTCAAGGGAGTTTCACCATCGTCAAAAGTAACTAATAGAATATAACAGTCGGAAGCATCTAGCCAGGATCGATTACATTACAGACCTCTCTTTGAAATATGTCAAGTATCTCGAGATATTTATTAGGAGAACCAGATCAGATATGGCAGCAATCTTCAGTCCACAGACAAATGTTAGATTAATAAATGTACAAGAATCATTCTGACGAGAAGAATTGTCTGGCACGACACATGTAACCAACTTTCCTAGCAGTAGACCTAGAAATTGATTGTCAGCCCACTTGATGCCAGTAGAAACCTGAACCCAAGAATACCCGAAGAGTTTTTTTTGTGGAGGTTAGCATCAGCCATGCTGAAGAGAGAAAGAGAATGTTTATATATATATATATATATATATATATATATATATATATATATATATATATATATATATTACTAACAAATGAAATTTACATGATAAAAGACATTTTATAGAATTCTAGGCCCAACAAATATAAGATTTATTGCGACGTTGTTGTCGTCTGCTATTTGATATTATGACAAATTAATTGAGAGGAGAGGAAACAAATTTACGGAATTCTTTTTTTAACCATTTTACCCATAAAATAATTGTTAGAGACACAAATAAAATGTAGCCTAACGCGAATTTACAAAGATTATTCCAAGAATTTACCAAAGATTATTTTAAGTATTTACCGAAGATTATTCTAAGGATTTACCAAAGATTATTTAAAAAATTGCCACAGATTATTCTCAGAATTAACCAAAGATTATTCCAAGAATTTACCAAAGATTATTTTAAGTATTTACCGAAGATTATTCTAAGGATTTACCAAAGATTATTTAAAAAAATGCCACAGATTATTCTCAGAATTAACCAAAGATAATTCTAAGAATTTACCAAAGATTATTCTAGGAATTTCCCAAAGATTATTCTCAGAATTTACCAAAGATTATTTCAAGAATTTCCCAAAGATTATTTTAATTTACCAGAGGTTATTCTAAGAATTTCCCAAGGATTATTCTAAGAATTTCCCAAAGATTATTCTAAAATTTACCAATGACTATTTTAAGAATTTCCCAAAGATTATTCTCAGAATTTACCAAAGATTATTTTCAGAATTTAGCAAAAATTATTCCAAGAATTTACCAAAGTTTATTCTAAGTATTTACCAAATATTATTTTAAAAAATGACCAAAGATTATTCTCAGAATTAACCAAAGATTATTTTGAGAATTTACCAAAGATTATTCCTAGAATTTCCCAAAGATTATTTTAATTTCCCCCAAAAATGATCTTCTTCACTTCAGCAGTTTCCGCTTATCTATGGATTCAATTAACTGCACCATTTTAGTTCTTCACCTTTCACATAAACTCATAATCACAGTTAAGCAGTGTCAGTTCTTGGATGGGTGACAGGTTCTGTCATCGGCTCATCGCCTTTTGTCAAACGAGAGGGAGAGTAAGAAAAAAAATAAACAGCAACTTCTACTTGATCCCTACTTAGCGAAGTGGGGACAACTTCGGAAAACCACAAACTGTTAGAAACTTGAAAAACTTCTTTGGAGGTGTTCCTTTTCCGAGGTTTCGGTTTTTTGTTTCAGTTACCCGCGGTCAACACACGAAATAAACGAACCATTACTCTTGTTTAATAATTGTTCCAGAGCCTAATTGTAGTGATACTGGCAATTCGGATATGCCAAAGAGAAACCTTAAAATGTTCTAAATATAAAATTATTCTTGTAAATAAACAATCTAATAAATAATGTTTAATATTTTTATTGTGAATTTTCAAGAACAAAAATTGTATAAATTCACTTTCACCATATGCTTAGCTTTTATTACAATTCTAATAATCACTTTTTAAAACAATAAACATTGCGAGGAGTGAAGGTAGTTAAAATAATAGCGGTGTCAAGGAAAAACCGTCCTTTTGAGAGATCATTTTTTTTTCAGTCACGAAGGTCCACGGCTGCCCAATTTTCTTAGATGCCACGCTGAAAGGCATTGGCTAGCGAGCTGCCCCAATGGAACATTGCCCTAATAGCGAAGTCAGTCATCACTGGGTGCTTTATACTTGTGGCTTTTTACTAGTCTGTTAAGCTTTTAAAGGAGAATTTGACCAAGTGATCAAGGTTCCATCAATCAGGCAGCACCTCCCCATTGCTTTCAACAGAATAGAATGAGAGTACCTTTTGATGTCTGCAGGAAAAACTGACGAAACTAAACCTGTCGGCAAAATATCTTCAATTTGTTATGCAAAAGAGAATCGCTCTTACACTTCTAGCCTTTTGCCAGGCTATTCAATGTGTATCTAGTAGTACGTCGTTCATAATTTTCTAGTCTACTTATTTAAGGAATTAATGTATTTTTCTTTTAAATCTTGCGTTGTTTCATTTTACTATAAACGTTATATTGGTTGCACGTGTTTGAGTAAACGTTATTAGCGTAAAAAATCGATAAGTTTTAAAAAATCAATAATCAATAAAGCCGATCAAAAATCCATAAATTCAATTTTTTCGATCATACTCGGTATGTAGGTTACTTGCATCATGACATCTCAAAGATGTATCATTTTTATTTTCACGCCACTGCGTTTGGCGAAAAATTGGGAAAGACGAAATTTAAAACAAATTTTAAACCAAAACTCCCTCAATTTTCAAGCAATTTAATACAAACTTCACTCAATTGCAGGCAACAAGAAGTTGATTGTTTAACAGTCATTTAGCTTGATAATTGAGTCCACCTATATAGTGAAAACCTTCATAAATAACAGAAAATGGCGATTTTTACTGGTTTCTTTCTTATTTTTCGTTGGTATTTCAACCAATTTTCATTAAACACAACAATTGCTTTATAAATGTATCCTCTTTTACATCCTTGGTAACACACTGACAAATTGAATTTCAAAAACTCTAAAATAATTGTGGTCTGAAGTGGGTCTTCAATTTGCCTGTTTTGCCCGTTCATGTCCTCCGCTAACTTTGATTGGATAAATACAGACTACTTCTGTTATATCAATAAGGGCATTAATTCAAAATGTTTTTTTAATGAAATTACTTTAAAGTAATTGAAGAAGATAGACTCTGTTACATCTAAACTTGATGCTATTTTTGTTCCATTCTAATTGAACGCTTTTTCTGACTGACGAGCTGGGTATGACTGCTAGTAGGTAATAAATGGACGGGATTTATAGAGAGCCTACGTTCTTAAGGGGCAGGGAGTTTTTTTTTTACTGCTCGATGAAGCGACTGACATTAGCAATTCATTTCAGTCACATGTGCTCGATGATTTCTTGCTGTTTGGAAACATCTCTCAAAATAGAACTGAAGATATGTTTTATATATTTGTTAAAATCTTACCAACATTCCCGTGCAAACAGGAATGCGAAGACAAAGTATCAGATTGAGTCATAAGTAATTCCCTTTTCAGGAACCACTTGTAATGACTGTATCATCCTAAGGCAACGTTTAACTTTCCTATAGGAAAAGACAATAAATAACGATGTGTCAAAAGGGGCGGTTTTTCTCTTGATACTATTAATGTGCACCCGCTTGACTCTCTCTCTCTCACTCTCTTTCTCTCACTCTCTTTCTCACTCTCTCTCTCTCTCTCTCTCTCTCACTCTCTCTCTTACTCTCTCTCTCTTACTCTCTCTCTCTCTCTCTCTCTCTCTGTAGTGTTTATTGTTTCAAAACGCGATGTTTAGAATTTTAATAACAAAAATTTTACAAACAATTTTAGTTGTTACATTATTTATTTACAAGATTATAAAAAATATATGGACCAATTCGTCTTCTTTTATGTGCCGTCTTCCTTCCGGTCGTAGGTAATCATGGCCCTCCACATCTTCCTATTCCTTGTAGCTCTTAATAAGTCTTGTCTTTTTGTTATTTCTCCTAAACTTTGTTCTGACATCCCTTTACTCAAGCTCATCTTTTATGGTACGCGTTGCTTTTCTCTGTCCTTCTTTCCTTCAATCTGTCCTGTGAGTATCAGATTTTCCAAGCCCTCCTTCCTCATTAAGTGCCCCAGAAACTTCAATTGCCTCTTCCTGGCGTTAAGTATAAGTTTCCTTTTTGTTTCCATTTTCTGCAAAACCTCGTTGTTGCTTACACATTCAGTCCATGGCATCCTCAGCATCTTTCTGTAGAACCATATTTCTGTTGTTTCAAGTCTCTTCTTCATGTTTGAGGAGATTGTCCATCATTCGTTGCCATACAGTAGGACAGATATCACGTAACAGTTCAGCTGACAATTATTATTTGACAATTTCTCAATAAATAGCTGGCTTACGA